GTAGAATTATTTTTGAACTTCTATTTCTGAGCCTTAACAATAAGGTAGTGTGATAGAAATTAATAACAATGTGATCATTAACAGAAAATCTCCTCCCATCTGATGTGAACATTTGCAGTTTGAGCTTAACAGGCCTGGATTCACATTCCAGCTCTGTCACTTACTAAGTCTCTATTTCATCATCTGTAAACTAGAGTTATTTACAAGGATTAAACTAAATGATGTACAAAAACTCAACATAGTGCCAAGTACATGGTAAATACTCAATAGATTATGCTCCGATCTATATTTTGTCAACATTAGAACAAGAATGCACAGCAGCACACAATCCTACATAAAATCACTCCAAACGACAGTACAATTTTTAAATCCCTCTCTGCAGTCTCATTCCTCAATTTTTTCATAAATAAGGCCTGATGTGGGCTCTGTAATGGGTATTGTGCTAGGGATGGGGCATATCCTGATAGACACGGTTCATCTCTGCCTTTCATGAGTTATAGCCTAGAAGTGGGTGCAAGCAAGAAAATCATTGCTTACCACATGAAGGGATAAGGACTAGAATAGGGAAATCCATTGAGCATTAAGAGATCAGAGGAGGGGCAGCTCAGGCACAAGAAGGTAACTACCCAGTGGGAAAAGAAAGATGCTTGAATTATCTTAAGAATAAAATGGGAAGTTGCCAGGCCTCTGGCTGAGAATAAGTGGGCAGGTGAGGATGTGGCTGAAGATGAAGCTGCGGCGGTGACTCTCATGGGCCTTAAGTGCCATCAAGCAGAAGGTTTCGGTGCCAGTATGAGGACCTTGATGAACTACAGATAAATTTCAAATGAGGCAGGGGGAGGGGAGGGTGTCAGAACCTGGGATTTAGATTAAAAAAAGAAATCCCTGCAAGGATTTTAAAAGATTGCTTGGAAAGAAACAAAAAATGTTGGATTCAATCTAGATTCCCTTTTTCCTGCATCTCATCCGTGATTTGTCAGCTAATCCTCTAGGGTCTACATTTAAACTATATCCAGACTCTGACCAAGTCTCACCACCTCCACTGCTACCACCCTCTCTAAACTCCCATCATCTCTCGCCTCAATTGATCTCCTAAGTCATCTCCTGCTCCATCCCCAACCCACTACTCCCCACACATGGCCCCAAGTGATCCCATTAAAGAAGTAGATTGGATGTCACTCTTTGGCTCAAAACCCTCCAAGACTTTCTATGTCATTTAGAGTAAAGATGGAAACCCTTACATGCAAAGCCCAAAATGACCTGCCCCCACTCCCTGACTCCCTACCCTTATCTTTATAACCTTATCTCCCTCTAATGTGCCCCCACCACTAGCTCACTCCACTTCAGGCCAGCTGCCCGCCTTGCTGTTGCTCAAATTTACCAGGTGAGCTCCTGGCTCAGAGCCTGCTGCTCCCTTTGCTTATATCCTTCTTCCCGTCATACGGTCATGACTTGTGCACTCACCTGCTTCTTGTCTTTACTCAGATGTCACCCTCTCAGCACAGCCTTTCCTCGCCACTTGATATAAACTTTCGGCACCCCGTACACACTCCCTTTCCCAGCTTCCTGCTTTTTCCTCTCAATTTACTTACCTTATTCATTTCTGTCTCCTCCCATCACTAGTACTGCTATGTTTATCTGTTTATTTTCATTGTATTCCCAGCTTCTAGAACATTGGAGGCACCACCAAATGTCTCTTGAATTAACTGATTAGTTAATGGAAGAAGGGAGACCAATTAAGAGGCATTTCAAGTAATATAAGTAAGGAGATAACTACCAGAATTAAAAAAGAAATAGAAGGGTATAGAGAAAAAGATTTAGGTGGTAAGATAAGCACTGTTTAGTGACCTCTTAAATGTGGGCAGTAACCAAAAGGGAGCAGATACAGCTAATTCCTGGGTCTCTAACTTGGGGTACAAGGTAGATAGATGGTAGTGAATTCACCAATATTAGAAATAGTGGGGAGTGAGTGCAGTCGGGAAAAAAGGATAGCAAGTTCAGTTTTGAACTGAACTGTTACATTAAAATTAAATCAACAATTATTTTATTGGACACTTGCTCTGTGTAAGACAAAATCCTAACGTTTAATGGATACTGATTCCCTTTGGTTCCCCCAACTGAGATCAAGAGAGACAGGAGTCCCAAAGCTGTCCCATCTCCTATAGCATGAGAAAGGAAGGAGACATGTTTTTTGATTGAATCCAACCTGGTTTCTGTTTCCAGCTCTGTCCCTCCTGAGTAATTAGCAATTATTCACTCTCTGAGCCTCAGTTTCTCTATCTTCAAAATAGGGATCCTAATACCTACTTTACAAGACCATTATGAAGACCGGCAATACATGCATACAATTCCTGACACTTAGGCTCTCGAAATAAAGGTATAGAAGTTTTCTAACACTTATCTAACTTTTCCAAGTCAATGAAAGAGGGAAAGAGAGGAAAGCTGGTTAAACATGTCACAATTAAATTGTGATATTTACTTTGCTGTTTAAATGTAAGCACCAAAATGTTCCCTGATCAGGAACCTGGTTTAACAGCAAGGTATTTTCTTGTACAGTTTCCATTACATTATGAGTCAAAATTCAGTGTTCGAAAACTTTATATTTTCTCTAATAGTTTACAGAGTAAATATTGTGCACAATTGAGTTTTGTCTGGCATAAGCTTTAGAAACAGTCACATACAGAGGCTCAATGACAAGTTGCACTACCAACAAAAAAGCAGATATTTCTTCAGCTGTGTCTGTAGGGTGGAACAATCCATTCTTACACAATTAATTGTGGCTTGTGAGATTAAGGTAATTTGGGCTCCACACCCTTTGTTTACTGAGTCATGTGTCTCATGGTCACTGAGTTTAAGATATTATTTTCCATGAATGGAAGCAAAGTTGGCTCTAAAGTCCTCCCCAGGTGAGATTGCTCCAAGCTAAAGGATATGCTGACTTTAACCTTTGGTTTTTGTTTTTTGGGGTTTGGCCCTCCAACTTAATCTCGGTTTTTCTGTACTTCTCTCGCCACACTCATAGATCTTGACACATTAGTTCACCTCTGGAAATAGAGTCAATCGCTGGTTGAGGAGGAGAATCAATCAATTTGAAACTTATTTAGGTTTGGGGGGTTAACCTTGCCTCCTACTCTGTCTCCTTTTTGTTCTCCCACTGCTCTGTGGCCAATAACATTCACTGAACTCACAAATGCCAAACATTCACAAACAAACAAAAATTTGTGATTGTGTGTCATTGGTACAGCAACTCCATAAGGTAACAGATGAGTAAACTAAGAATCAAAAGACAGCAAATGTCAAAGTGCCAATTTTCTCCAACTTGAAAATTACAAGTGGTCCCCAAATGTTGGACTTTGGACCAGTGTCAGTGAGTAAAGCAAAATGCACAAATAAGAGCAATGTAGTAAAATAACATCATAAAGCTAGTGCTAAATTAGTCATCATTTTTTTATTATTCTGAGATTAGTCCTTTTTATTTTTACATATTTAAATGACCTTTTGTTAAATGATAATGTTTGAGCATGCTCGAAAATGTGTTGAATAATGTGTTTATTCAACAAAATTGAAAGCTGGTAATTCTATGTCCACCTCCAATAATTTTCTGACATGTTCCTGGTCCCAGAGCCACAGCATACAACACACAAGGGGTAATTTGCAAAATATCAGGAGATACCTTTCTATAAATCTGTGAGTGGGATAGAGCCCAAACACCACCAGGCTACCCTGCTGTGAAACCTAAGTGTCTAGGAATCGCTGACCCTCAGAGCAGTCCCTTCACACTTACACAAGAATGTTGGCAAAACGAGAAGAAACAATGAATGTCAGATTATATTCTGGCTAAACGTAACTATGTTTCAGCTCTGTTAAGGTTTTTAAATCCGATATATGGTCAGCAGTTAACACATGCAGTGGATATTTATAAATATCATAATATTTATGAACCACCCATATATGCCTGGCACCCTATACAGTGTCAGAAGCATAAACATCAATAGCATCTTTCCCCTCAAGGTGCTCACAGCCTAGTGGGCAACCTCTTTAACCAGGAGCATATACTGTACTTTATAACATCCAATATAACCTCATTGATCTTCAAAACAGCCTCATGAGGCAGGTATTACTACTCCCATATTTCAGATGAAGAAAATCTCAGATAAATGACAATATGATCTCCAAGCACACAAGGGATAAAACAAGAATTCACACTCAGTTTTTCTGTCACCCTTCCCCCCACCCCGCCCCTCACTGTGAGTGTGTAAGTGGCAGGGAGGAAGCAGCAGAGAAGATAGTGCCTGGACTGTCTGCCTGATAGCACACCAGATGCTGTGCTAGTATAAATCTACTGGCTTACACTGCAGTTGAAAAATTCATGTGGGGAAAAAAAAATGATAAATCACAAATCCTCTGCTGGTGGTGCAATTCTAATTCATTTCAGAGGCTTGCTACTCTCCTGGCTCTCAGCAATTAGCCTCTGGTCACATCCCCATTTTTATAATATGGAGAATATCACAGTGAAAAATGCTTCTGCTCTGACTCCCTCCACCCTTCTTTGCATACAAAATGACCTCCCTTCTGTACATCCCTGGGGACAGTGCCCAGGTGAGGGAGCTTGCTACAGTACGTGTCCAACTCATGGCCTTGGGAGGAGTTAGAGCAAACAGAACAATGAGTTGTTATTCTTGAGAATTTCATTAACTGGCAGAAGAAAGGGAAGCAATTGCAAACCATAGGTCAGATTTCCTTACTCTTCTATCAAATTACCTAAATGTCAACATGTTTGTACTGAAAAAACATTTGAGAGAAAAATCATTACAGGGAATATTGTTCAGGTCAGGTTTATTTCTAGGACTATATTCCCATCTAGAGTCACTCCGTTTCCTATAAACATAACTATGTACAAGCTAAGAAACTTTAGGAAGGCAGAAAATGATCGTGAACCCTGAAATAATGGCTTCTCTAAGTGGAATGAGTAGGTTTTGAAGTTTTTCTCTTGTTCTAAGGCCAGCACGGGTGCCATCGAACTCAAGATTCCTGAATCCGTACTTAGTATGTTTTATTGTGGTTGCAGTGGTGATAATTCTAGCAGTGACAATAGCTCTACTGGTCTACTTTTTAGCTTTTGGTAAGTACCAGAAGATGAAGTACAACTTTTCAGTCTAAATAATTGTACTTTCAGATTAAAAGTTTGGCATTCTTTAATTGCCATTTTTATTTCTTAATATAAAATAATTATACATCTTACTTATATCCTGAAATGTTTGTTTCTATATTTTCCTTCAATGAGTATATTTTCTCTTCTTTTGCCGTTTTTTAGTATAATAAACATTATTACCCAGGGAAGAATTATTCCAGCCAAAGAAAAAAATCTCTTGATACTTTCTGATACTAGCAGTTTCCTATTTTGGTTTTTCCATTAATACCATTTTCATTTAATAACTGATAAAATTGTAAAAGTGAAATATTGCAAAGAACCTTAAGTTTCAACACCTAAAATTTGGATATACCTAACTACTTGATAATTTGTGATCTATCTCCTGGAAACAATCTTAGTAGCAGAACAGTTATGATAGGAGATGCAATTGCAATTAAGTAGGAGAAAGGGGTAAAAAGAAAATCTGTTCTTATTTGTTTCTCTTATTTTGTTTAATTTATCATTATATCACAAAAGTATAGGAAACATGGAAAAGAAACAAATAATATAAAGAATATACATACCCTGCTCATTCATTAAGAATTACCCATAATATCTCAGTGCATATTCTTTCAGATGTTTTAGTGTAGATAAATGTGTCAAATTTCACTAGGTGGTACCTACTGTAATCTGCTTTATTCACTTAAAAATACACTTTGAGGATTTTTTGTATTTGTTTTTTAATTTCAGCTATAATTCTGTTAACTCCTTTAAAACGTGTGGGGATATGTGAGCATGGGGAAAGAGTGAGAGAACATAATTTATTGTATGTCCTATTGCAAAAGGGCAAAAATGCTTAATTATGCAAAGGTTGAAAAACTCCCAATGGTGCGAATCAATTACCAACATTTGAAAACCTAGTAACTTGGAATAATCTTTTCAACCTAATTATAAAGTTGTGGCTAAATTTTGCTTTTGACTACATTTTGCTATCAAATCACTTGGAGTCAACTATGTCTAAGGTGAATTAAGAAAGATAGGTAAGGGCCGGCCGAGTGGCGCGATGGTTAGGAACTGGCTTGGGACGCCAGAGGGCCCCGGTTTGGATCCCACATATGAGGGCCAGTGACACTGCCCTCCACAGCTAAAATGCTGAACAACAGCTCAACCTGGAGCTGGGCTGCC